TTAAAAAATAAAAACCTCCTTAAATGTATTAAATAACCTTTAAAAAAGTTAAAATTTGAATGCTCTCCTTAATTTTTATTAATATTTTTTTTTTATTTATATATATATATATATATATATATATATATATATATATATATATATATATATATATATATATATATATATATATATATATATATATATATATATATATATATATATATAAGGTAATTATAATTTCTCTGTTTATATTTAAAATTTATTAAAAAAAATAAGATTATGTTTTTAATGTAATTGTTTTCTCCTTAATTATCCTTACTTTTTCTTTCAAAAAAATGTCGTTTGCGACCAAATCTCCTTGAATATTAGGGAAATATCTCCTTAATTCTCCTTAAAATCCTTAATTTTAGCCTTTAATAGTGGGAACCCTGAAATATAACTTCAGGTATTTTGGTTAAATTTCTACTTTTTTTTTTCTTTGTTTTGTTCATAACTTTTTCGTAACTATATAATTGCTATGTTTATAATTATACATGCCCTGTATGTCAATGTCCAATGTCAGGTCAGGAGTATGGTCTTCATGATCATCCTGCTACTGGTAACATGTAACCCAGTGCAACCTGTTCCATGTTCTGCTGCCTTGCAGGATTTGCTTTCCAAGCAAAGGCTGGAAGGAGTGTTCTTCCTGTCATCAGTACTATTTTATATCAGTCATGCCTATAGTAATTTTTAATTAAATTTTTTTTTTTTTTTTTTTTCTCATAAAGTTGGAGGTGCCTTAGTTACTGTATTAGCTCACCTGTAATCTACGTTATATGTATGTTTGTGTTCTGTCTGAACCTCTGGCGCGGTGTTCACTCACCCATAAGTTACTTTATGTTCTTTATGTATGTCTGTGTTCTGTCTGAACCTCTGGCGCGGTGTTCGCTTACCCGTAAGTTACTTTATGTTTATGTTTATGTTTTTTATGTTTTTTTATGTATGTTTGTGTTCTGTCTGAACCTCTGGCGCGGTGTTCGTTCACCCGTAAGTTACTTTATGTTTTTTATGAATGTTTGTATTCTGTCTGAACCTCTGGCGCGGTGTTGACTCACCCGTAAGTTGATTTATGTTTATTTATGTTTGTTTGTGTTCTGTTTATACTCTAATGCAGCGTGGGCACAGTAACTAACTACTTACTCTAACTACAAAACCTACACTCACCTTAGACTCCTGTATTTTGTTAGATGCAGTGTTTTTCCTAATGCACTTCCAAAATGTCATGCCTGGTTTTCTCAAAGTACTGTTGCGGGAAGTAACTCCTTTTAACTACTCCAGGTCAGGTCAGGATAATCAGATCAATCTTACTACTGGTACCACGTAACCCAGTACCACCTGCCACAACACAAGCTCTGCTGCCTTGCAGAGTGTGCTCTTCTTATGCAAAAGCTAGGAGAAATAAACTCCGACTAAAATTTCCCCTGCCTTGGGGCTCTTGGTTGAGTAAAGGCTAGAGATGGTGTCTCGATAAAAACACTCATCTTAAGCAGATGGTAACTGCATCCAGCTAAACATCCCCTGCCTTGGGGCTCTTGGTTGAGTAAAGGCTAGAGATGGTGTCTCGATAAAAACACTCATCTTGGGCAGATGTTAACTGCATCCAGCTAAACATCCCCTGCCTTGGGGCTCTTGGTTGAGTAAAGGCTAGAGATGGTGTCTCGATAAAAATACTCATCTTGGGCAGATGTTAACTGCATCCAGCTACTGTCTTGTAGAAGGCCTCCTAGGCAAAGACTTTAGGGGTAAGCAGAAAAATTCTGCTAACCAGCCTCGAACCCCTTCTTCATCTATTAGGCTGGCGTAGATGTAACCTGTGTTACATTGTTTCCTGCCTAGGATGATGAATGCTGGATCTCCTTGACTCTACTCATAGAATTTTGCTTATGCCTCCTTGATAATGGCTATGTAACTCTTCCTGTTATCTCCATATGAGGGTACAGCTCTAAAACTCAGTTTAATGGTTCTGAGGCCAGCTGGTAGTAAGGTTTCCCGAACTCTGTGGTAGCTCTCAGAGAGGCTGATTCCATCAACAGCTGCAAAATATCAGAGTATTAACAGTGCCATGTTGCGCATGGATGGTGTCCCTGTTAATGCTTTTGGTGTGCATTGTCAAGGCCACATAAGGAGCCCTATGTCACGGCTTAGGGTTAATTAACAGGACTGAGACAACTGCATAGCTCATTGATTAGGAGGCTGTGCTCTATCTATGAATGAGTCAAGTTCTCACTAAACCCAAATCATGACCAAAGTAACCAAAAATTTAAAACCTAAAAAACCATCCCTACCACCGTAATCATTTTTTTCATCTTTTTCAAAAGAACAACTCTCTTGAGAATAAACGGCTATTTATTATTGCAAGAAATCGATGTAAAAAGGTGCTTTCTGATGCTAAACTCCATTATTCTCAGTTCACTAAATCTCGCATCTTATCGCAGAAGATAGGCTCTAAAGACTTTTGGAAAATCTTCAACAGCATTATTACCTCTCCCAAGGATAAGGCAGAACTATTTGCAAAGAACTTTTCGTCTAATTCCACTCTTGAATCTTATGGACATTCTCTTCCTTCCATTCCAGTCAAACAGGTTGACCCATTGTTAGACATTCAAATCACTCCGGCTTCTGTTGCTAAAGTCATATCTCAATTAAACTCATCTACAGCTTGTGGTCCAGACAACATTCCTGTCACAGTCTTGCAGAATTGTTCTCCAGAACTTTCTTCAATTCTCTCTAAACTATTTAACAAGTGTTTGACTGAGTCTTGTTTTCCTGCTTGTTGGAAAATGGCATCTGTGGTTCCAATATTCAAAACCTCTGACCCCTCCAACTATCGTCCGATCAGTCTTCTTTCTGTTATTAGCAAGGTCTTTGAGTCTTTGATCAACAAATTCCTCACATCTCATCTTGAGTCAAATAAACTACTGTCAGACAATCAATACGGTTTTCGATCCTCTCGCTCTACGGCCGACTTGCTAACTGCTGTAACTGAAAGATTTTATCGTGCATTAGATGGAGGCGGTGAGGCTAGGGCGGTTGCTCTCGACATATCTAAAACTTTCGACAAAATTTGGCATGCTGGTCTTCTCCATAAGCTTGCTTCATATGGTGTTTCTGGGAAAGTTTTTGAGATTATCAAACCATTTCTTTCTAACCGGTTTATTAAAGTCATCCTTGAAGGCCAACACTCTTCTTTATTTCCATTAACTTCTGGGATTCCCCAAGGTTCCATCCTGGGCCCTGTTTTGTTTCTTATCTACATAAACGATCTTCCTGACAACCTTTCATCTAAAGTAGCTCTTTTTGCTGATGACTCAACTTTATACTCCTGTCTTGACAAAAAGTCCTCTCTTTTCGATCGCCTAGAACAAACAGCTGATCTTGAATCCGATCTCACTTCAGTAATAGATTGGGGTTCACAGTGGCTTGTGAATTTCAACTCTAACAAAATCCAGTTGTTTACTGCAAACAACTACCGTTATATGGTCAACATTCCTATATTAATGAATGGCAATCCTCTTACTGAGTCGTCCTCTTTACGTCTTCTTGGATTATCGCTTACTACTGACCTTTCATGGAAATCATATATACAATCGATTGCTAAATTAGCTTCTGCTAAGGTTACTTCTCTTTATCGTGCTCGCCATTTCCTTACTTCTGATTCCATTCTCTACCTCTACAAATCTCTTATTCGTCCCTGTATGGAATACTGTTATCATATTTGGGCTGGTTCTTCTAACGATTCACTTTCTCTTCTTGACAAGGTCCAAAAACGCATTGTAAATGTTGTCGGACCTGGACTATTTGCTAAGCTTGAACCTCTTTCCCATCGTCGTAAAGTTGCATCTCTTTCTTTTTTCTACAAATACTATCATGGTCACTGCTCAAAGGAGTTATCATCTTTAGTTCCATCAACTGAAATTCATTCTCGTTTTACTCGTCATTCAGCTAAGTCTCATTCGTTTACTGTATCTGTCCCTGCATGCTCTAAAAACTTTTATTCATCTAGTTTTTTTCCCCGCACTTCAATCCTTTGGATCTCTCTCCCATCTTCATGTTTTCCTGACTCATACAACCTTCAACTTTTCAAGTCTTCTGTCAACCGTTTCCTTGCTCTACAACTCTGTTCTTTTTTTCCTAGTAACTCCCAACTTGATAGTGGTTGCTTGCAGCTTTGTTGGGAGTGAACGCAAATAAAAAAAAAAAAAATTAACATAAGACATAAAGAAGATGGTTCAGTAAGAGCATTGTTATAAGAATATCAAAAATATTGCAATAATTATTACACAATAGACAGAAACTGTCAGAGAAACAAAATATAGACAGAAACTGTCAGAGAAACAAAAAATAGACAGAAACTTTCAGAGAAACAAAACACAGAGACAACTGAGTTTTGTTTAGATTAAAATTCACCAATCATCAAAAGTTTTAAGCTGTTACAGAAAATAAAAACATTAACTGCAAACTTTGGCCTTTATGCAAATCTTAAAACACTTGCATATTCCAACTTTTTATAGTAGAATAGAATAATCTATTGTATTAAAAGCTTTCTTTTTCTAGAACTTTGTCTAAATAAAATAAAAATAATATTTGTTTTAAATCTAATATTGCAACAAACTATATATACAACTACCTATATCACAATATTAGGTAAAAAATTTGCTAGAAAAATATTCTCCTTGTTACACTGCAGGTGAAGAATTATTAAATATTTATATCATGCTATGCATATTTTTAAGTAAGAAGAAATGTTTACTTAAAAATGGTTATAAAAGTATCCTTAGCTTCATAAACATTAACTACAAAAAGTTTGTTTTCTATAAATCATTAATTTCCACAGATGATTCTAATTGAAAGTTACAAAAAGTTATAACATTATTTTTTATTTTATGAAACTTTAGTTTGTTCGTCTACAAAAAATAACAAACAAAAACCAACATTCGACCAATAATACAATATTAAGAAAGTAGTAAACAATTATTTACCTATTAAATATAATCATTGCAAGAGCAGTAAATAAACTTGGAATAGGTTCTGTATATATTTGGTTTTCTAAAGACTTATAATCATTTAAAAAGCTTGTTTGATATGTTATGACATCCTTTAAATACAAAGCTTTGTTAATATAAAAATAAACATCTGCACCACTTGGATAAGCATTCTGGCTTGAAAAATATAATGGATTTAACCATGCTATTGCAAAAGGAGTTATAAGAGAAAATATTCCAAATATTGTTCCAACCCATATTGATTTCACTGCTTCAGTGATGATATAATTCTTAAAACATCTATAAGAAAATAAAAAGTATGAAATAATATCAATAAAAGTTTCATACCATCTAAAATCTAATACTGCCTACAAAAACACATGCACACATATTAAATAACAAATTTCAATATTAAACTCATGTTTAAGTATTATGTAATACAATTTACACTTTTGTTGCAACAAATCTTTTATTATAGCTTTATAACTTTTTATTTGACCTACTAATTAATGTTTATTTTTAAGGTTAAACTCAGATCAGTCAGGATAAGATCATCGTGATCACCTTGCTACTGGCAAAATGTAATCTAGTACAATTTGTTATGAGTATCGATGCCTTGTAGACTCTTGGTTAAGTAAAAGCTATAGTTTCTCAACAAAAGCACTCAGCTTAGGCAGATTTGAACTGCATGCAGCTACTGTTTTGTAAAAGACAAAAGCTTTGGAGGTAACAAGAAAATTTCTGATTACCAGCTTTACGCCTTTTTTTATCTAATAGACTGAACGCTTGCAAAAACAACTACTCCCTCTAATTAAAAAATATAAACAACCAACTTTACTTTGGACAGATCTAGCATTGCTCCACTATTCTAAAAAAATAACGGATTGGTAAAAGAAAAATATGATCAATGTCATTCCAAAAGATGCTAATCCACAGAACTGTCTTGAGCATCCAGTCATTGAATTTTACTGGGCATCTGTAAAAGGAATACTGAGGGAAAAAAAGAAAATATACAATGTTAAAAAATTCTAACTACAAAAAAAAGTGACACAAATACAAATAGTGGATTTGATAACAGGTACTTTACAAAATTAAGATGGTCTTTGAAATCAATTTTTTTTCAGAAAAGTCTGCTTTTCCCCTCTAAAAATGTTCTATATAATAAAATAATACAAGATTTTTTTGAATAAAAAAATATTTCTTTGTCAATTTGTCAACCTCAATCTTTTAGAAGTCGGCATCAAGTCGACAAAAAAAAAATTGTTACAAAGGTCTTACCATAAAACATAGAATCCAGGTTGGCAATTTTTGCCAATCTTAAACACTTTTAGGTTGGCAGTTAGTTCGGGATTGCCAAATGCCAACCTTAATTCCGAGGGCTATATATATATATATATATACATACATATATATATATATATATATATATATATATATATATATATATATATATATATATATATATATATATATATATATATATATATATATATATATACATATATTAACCTCTCTATAAGCTGTGCTTTTGTAGTAATTGAAACTTTGTGTATTTTTTCCTTTAAAATGTCCTGTAAATTCTCAATTGGGTTCATATCTGGTGAATTCCCAGGCCATTTAATTACAAAGAATCAATTGTCTCGGAACCATCTCATTAACAACTTTCACATATGGCAAGGAGCACAATCCTGTTTATAAAGCTTTTATCAGTAAACCAGTTTTTGAATTGAGGGACCAAATGTTTCTCCAACACCTCTATATACTTTCCCTGGTTTATCATTCCTTTCACAATATGTAGATGGCTTGTTCCATTGATGGATATTGCTCCCTGTACCATGATCTTAGTGGGGAACTTCAATGGTTTCTTAAGACACTCAGGCTAAAATTCCTCTGTAGGCCTTCCTCTGACTGTATGGAATACAATCAAAAGAAGGCCTGGAGTTGCTGTGTAAGATATATCATCCAACACACACACACACATATATATATATATATATATATATATATATATATATATATATATATATATATATATATATATATATATATATATATATTATATATATATATATATTATATATAGGGGTATCAAATTTTTACAAACTCAGTTAGCATGTTATATTCTGATGAGTTTTTGTATATAATTACTAGAATTTAGTTTCATTATCATGTTTCTAAAAAAACTTATGCACTGACCCACTGAAATCCAGGTTGGCATTCAATAACGCCAACATAAAAACCAATCTATGTTTGCTTTACCATAGCATACAACTGCTGACCTGAAACTCTAAAAGTGTCAACATGCAAAAAAAAATTAGTAAAAAAAATTAATATTCATTCAATACGATTTCATAATTTAGTTATTGAAATTATTTGCTTTTCAAGTTAGAGTTTTATTTTTAAAAATAATTCTTTCTTTTTTTTTCAATGCATATTTTTCTTTCTTAAATTCATTTAAGAAATGAAAATATGCATTTAGAAATTCAAATATAAACGTAGCAAGATCATTATGTAATTCAAAAGTAAAAAAAACTTTTTATTTTAAATGTGTTGTTCTAACAATTTTTTACTCAGAATTTTAGCTCGATTATTATGCTATTAATTTTTTTAATTTATTATAAAGTCATTTTATTGGTAAAACTGTTCATTTACATGTTTACAGCTGTTTTAAGATCAGAAAGTCTAACCTTAACTACTAAAAAACTAACCTTTGGAAATTTCTTTTCATTCCAAAAATATTTACCTACAATGAGATTAAAAACTGCACATTATCTCAATCATTTCTGTTCATTCTTCTATCGCCTAGTGTCACCACTATTGTCAAAGTTTGTTTTACAATAATCATATTTACTACATATTGCTTCAACAAAACAATATAACAAATTCGATGAACTAGTACTATCTCCAAGAAAGGAAACAATTATATATATATATATATATATATATATATATATATATATATATATATATATATATATATATATATACATATATATATATATATATATATATATATATATATATATATATATATATATATATATATATATATACATATATATATATATATATATATATATATATATATATAAATATATATATATATATATATATATATATATATATATATATATATATATATATATATATATATATATATAGATATATATATAGATATAGATATTATAGATGATGCAAAACATTTTTTTTGAAGCTATAATGCAAGATTTTTGCCCATATAAGTATATAAAATTAAAGTTATTAACTCTTACTTTAAATGCAAGAAGTAATAAATGCTAGAGTCATACTAGTTTTATTAATTTTTATCCTAAATGAATCTAATGTCTTCCTAATTTTGTTCCTTGGTATAACTTCATACAGTTCTTAAATTAATTTAGAGTTAGTGTCAAAGATTTTTTAGGAAAAAAAATATCTTGTAACTATTTCAGATACCACTGATGTAATTATTAGACACACGCCATTCTTTCTTTTTCTGTATTACTTATGAGTGGGGTACTTGGGTGGTTCAAAGTAGCTTGTGCTTAGCATCATCTATTATTAGTGTGTTTACTTGTATTTAGTACAAGTAAACATGCATTAAATGATCTAATGCATGTTTAAGTCAAAAAAAATTACAAACTGCATTAAAATTTAATTTAAAATTCAAAGAATTTATAGCGGAAAAACTTGGGGGACATTATTCTAATAAGCATGCACCATCAGAAAATTTATAATTTGAAAATTGCGTACAAATATTATCAAAAGAAGGGTAAAACAAATTAAAAGTAAAAAAAAAATCGTAAATGCAAACTATATTCATTGATTATTAAATATGTCTTTAAAATAAAAACATAGATAAACATACTTTTTATTTATAATTTAAAAAATGTTAAAAAATTAACTAACAGACGTTTAAATATTCTGTGTGAGACTGAAAAATACTGAGTTTTTGAAACCATTTGTGCTATATATTCGTACGCTTTAGTACATCTCCTACACGTAACTATGAGACGCTACTTAAAGGCAACATAAAATGCCATATTTTTCAAAAAAATCAATTAAGATAACGGTATTAGTAATTGACCGTTTAAAAGAAAAAATTCCGCATGATTGTATCATTGTTAACCAATTATATAGCATTAGGAACAAAAATTATATTGGGGGGGGGGGGAAGGGGCAGTACTATCCCGAAATAGTTTTAAGAACCTTTTTTTTTTTTAATCATTATAAGCATTTCGCACTTATGCCAATTCGCACTTAAGCCAGTTCGCACTTATGTCAATATTTGAAAATTTATTCGGCGCACTTATGCCAGTTCGCACTTATGCAAGTTTGCACTTATGCCATTTGCACTTATGTCAGTTCGTACTAATGAAATTTGCGCTTATTCAGTCGTTCCAGTAATTGACCATCTAAAAAAAAATTCAATATTTGATCGTCTTTTGCTTCAGTATTTGACCATATGTTAAATGAGAGAAAATTCCGGTATAAGGTATGATCCACGTTGAGAACACAAGTTTGGAGGGTGGATTTTCCTTTGCATTTGCTCTCTATACATATACAAGCTTATCTAGGCAATGATAAAAAGAAATTCTATTCCAAAACATTGTATCTACCTTGTAGCCATTAGCCACAACTTGCACTGCTTTCCCAACAAAATGGCTTTCTTTATACTCTACAATTACAAAGTCATCCGTTTCCAGAGTATCATCATCTGAAGAATATTTATTTTCTCTTTCTTCTTTCTTTCCTTTTTAACTGTTTATTCTTGTTTCAGTCTTTCCATTTCATTTTATTTTCAATTTTCCTTTGAAAAAACAATTGGTCAAGTTCCCCAGACACTAAAGCGAATATCTTTTGGGTTTTTTCTTCTGTGGTTTTTTGTTAACAATATTAGGAAGGCCAAATCTACATTTTTAAACAGAGATAATCTACTTGATTGTCCAGCGATTGCAGTATTTTCATTTCTTTCAACTATGGGAGATAATACATGTGATGGTCCTGCGATTACGATATCTTCATTGTCTTCAACTATGGGAGCCTTTTAAGTTCTAACTCAATTTTTATCCACAACAGGAAAAGTGATATGTCAGAAGATTCTCCTTCCCAATCAATAATAGATTGCTCAAATAATTAAATTTTTTCTTTCCCTCTATACTCCCCAATACAGAACAAGTAACATGCTTATTCACTCTTCTAGAAGTTTATAGAAATCTTTTTTCTTCAAGATGGGTTTATCTAAATGATTGCTGCGCCACTTATGAGCATGTTGCTTCCAATTTTTTTTAATGTGCAAAACACTGCAACATCTGTAAGCAGTAAAATATGCGTAGCATTAGGATATAAAGCTATCAAAATAATCACATTTTGGTTGCAGAGCTAACTTACTTGCATACTTAAATAGGAAACATGTCCATCGACAAATAAAATAAAAGAAAGAGTTATGTTTACTTTCAGCCAAGGGTAAAAAAAGTTTCCCAAGAAGTCGTAAAATAGTTCTAACTGCATCCAACCGGAATCATTTTTTTTTAGTAACAAACTGAAAGAAAATTTGAGCATTTTTTCCATAGATAGTCGCTCATATTTATAGATTACTAATAGTGTTGCAACACTGCCGTTGGCATTGTCAGTAATCAGTATTGTAAGACACTCTTTGTCATCTAAATTAACTTGTTGATACATTATCTTATCTCCCTTTCTTGCAAGGACTTTCGTTCCGTTCGGGTTAAGAAAAAAGACCGTCTCATCGCAATTAAAGAGACTTAAGGGATCCATCAGGACTTATAAATCCTTTTTTTTAGGTAACTTCCGTGAACCACCTTAAAATATTGTCCTGTGTCACTGATGCACAGGAAACTGTTAAGTTTTGGCAAATACGTTTAGGTATATTTTTATTTCTTCTTAAAAATCCGTGAATCCATGTCCTACCAGGGTAATTGTTAGTAAAAGGATTGTTAAGATCAGTCATCAACCGTTGTATACTATCATGAAGTTGTTTTACAGTAATAGGGAATCCTGCTTTGGCTATTTTTAGGACCCAGTTAGCAATAACTGTTTCTTCATCATAGCTTAGGATGGTTTAAGGTCCCATTTTTCTTTCAATAAGTGACTTGCCTTCCAATTTATATTTTAGACTAATTCTTGGTACACCTTGTTTTTTAGTTGCTGCTGGTGTGTTATTATTTCTTACATCTTTGGATTGCTTCCTTCAACGCTTTCTCTGAGTAATCAAAATGACCTTTTATGGCAGGCATAATAAATCTAAAACAATACAAAATATTGATTCAGAAGTTGACACATGATTGATCTAGTATTTGACCACCTGGTCATCTATTAGATAAACATAACCTATTATGTTAAGAATATAAAAACAAGTATACTTTGTTATAAAAACATGAAACATACATGTTACGACGAGTTAAGATAAACAATAACTGAGTAATTGACCACCTCTGGTCAATTACTAAATTATTTAAATTTTCTGATCCAATATATGACCACCCTCAAAACTGACTACAGATGGCAGTAAACAGATAATAAATAACTTTTTATTTAGTATCAAACACATATACACTTTATTTAGTAAACATATCTTTTTCAAAACAAATTCATGCAATATTAAAAAGAGTAGTATTTATCTTTTAAAATTAATTTTATTTGCAGCTTTTTGTAAGCAAATTGCAGAAGAAAACATTAAAAATGACAAGAGCAAAGCAAATTAACATTGACTATGACTGTGACTGAAATTAACATTAACACTGACTCTTTTTTCAAAGCTACCAAATGTTTGCCTCGTTTACGTATGTACAACTAAATGGTAGGAGAGTATTTTCTCCCTGTTTTTAAAATCATTTTACCATAGTTTTTTAACAATTTTTGTTTTTAATAGACAACTACTGGCACATGGTCAATTACTAGTACCGTTAGCTTATGCTAAAATTTAGCTAAAATTCCAAAACTAACTTCATTTTTCAAAGGGTCTTTTTCCCCATCTCTATCATCCGGTGAACAAATGGAAACTGTCAATAATGAAATTGTAAAAAATTAATTTTTACTTAGTGTTCGTTTCATCGAACTCTAAACATTTTAAAATTCTTGTTTATAGCAATATTAGTAAATTTCAATTACAAATATTAATAAATTTCAACCACAAATAGACAAAATTTATCATTTCGAAAACAGTGATTCTGTTCATTAAAATGCATCAAACCCTAAGAATGATAGGGTCTGTCGGGGTAATTTGGGTATATTAAAGGTATAAATTATATTTTCTGTATAAAACTTAGTAACTACATGCCCAGATAAAAGTATATATTGTGTTTCACATGTGCTTATGAAAGACATATAAAAAACTATAACATATAAAAACAAACACTAAAAAATTATAATATTAAATTATAAACGTTTTTAATGACGTTTGATAAAAATTATCAAACGTCATTAAAAACGTTTATAAAAAATTTTATAGGTACAAACGTCAGTGATATAAAAACAAAAAAAAAAACAGCATTGTCATTATCTGGATAAAAACAAACAGCATTGTCATTATCTGGATGACCACCCAGAAAGAATATTTAATTTAGACAAAACTGGCCTAGGTACTGACCCTACTAAAGGGTAAAGTATTTGCTCCTAAAAGTGCCATGATAACATATTCACGTTCAGGAAGTGCCGGGAGACTCCAGTACAGTGTTCTTTTTGTAGCAAGTGCTGAAGTTGAACGCTACCCATCTTGTGCTATTTATAAGGGAAAAGGAGAGTTACAATCTCCTTGGGTAACAGATGGCCCTGACTATAATATAATAAAATTGTTAATAAACTGCAAAAAAAAATTATGTAATACCTTAAAATTTTAATTATTGATAAAAAA